CAGGGCTGTTTCAATCAGCTGTAATAAAGTCAGAGACAAAGCTTCATCCTTGATCTCCAGCCACAAACACACACACACACACACACACACACACACACGCACGCACACACACACACACACACACACACACACACACACACCTAAGCCCAAAGCAGACACAAACAGAACCAGAGTCATTATAGGCTGCCGTGACTGTAATGAGAAGTGAAAGGTATACAGCCAGCCCATTAGAGGTTACTGCTTCAGAGAATAATATTAATCGTCATAACAGGCATCCAGGAATGAGCCGACGCAGCCTCACAGACGCACACAACAGACCCGGTCCACTTGGAGATGGGAGGAAAAAAAAAAAAAAAAAAAGATTGCTTGTTTTGGCGGCCCAAGCGCTTAAAGTGGCAGCGGTAATTTATGCACAACTGACACATCCAGTATGCAAATGACTGGCCAGGGTGTGGGGCGTCATGTGTCGCAGCAAGGAGAAACCAGCCGTCTGAATGTCGGAGAACTAAAGTGCAATTATCAAGCTATTACGGGAGGGAGGACGGCTGGGAGGAGGAAAGAGAGAAGAGGGGAAAAAAAATCATACAGTTTTTCTGGAACGTTAATTTGATTTCTATCAGCACCGTTCCCCGAGCCTCTTTAAAATGCCAGAGGAGGGGAGACGCATGCGATCTTTCTTTGTTTTAACACGGCCTCCTCACTTCTAAATTCCCAATTTCAGTTCTTTATCTGTTCCCACTTACTCCCCGGCCCCGCCTTCCCCCAAACCCCCTCCGAGTCCAAAGCAAAAAGCTGCAGGACCACCTTCTTTGCACTTCCTCTGAGTCTTTGTACATTCTGCATTTCATCACTCCTGCAACTCCCCCCTGCCCCAAAATGCCCCTCAGGCTCCATTCATCAGTCGATCCAATAGAGAGGCAGACAACAACAGTGTCCGAGTGCCTGAGCTTTATCAGATGTTTGTGTCTGTGTGTATAAATTCACTTGGGAGTCTGCCTGGAAATATTAAATTGAGGAACACACTAAAACCTGCCATTTAAATAAACTCCGCTTCGGCGCCTTGCAAATTTTTCCCGCATTTTGTCACGTTTCAACTACAAACCTGCATGTATTTTAGTGGGATTTTAGGTGAGAAACCAACAAAAACGCAATGCAGAACTCTGAAGGGGAAGACGTATTTCGTGGTGAAAAAAAAAAAAAAATCTGAAAAGCGAAGCATGTTTTATAAAATAGATAAATAGAACCACCGTTCTCTGCTGTCACAGCAGCATTTCTACTGGAGTTCGTCTCCTCCAGCTTTCCACATCTGAAGAATGAAACCTTTGCTTATTCATCTTTGCAGGCGGTTAAAGCTCAGTCCATTTTGGATGGAGAGCGTCATTCAACATTACATTTCGAGTCTCGACACGGATGATCTGTGAATCCTACTCTGACCTTTGAATGGGTCATTCTGGCATAAAACTGCTTTGATCTTTCACATGTGCATGTGTGTTTTTGTATTTTTCAAGACCTCTAGCAGGTTTCCTTCAGGGATCGTCTTGAATTTAGCTCCATTTATCTTCCATCAACTCTTCCATCAAGCATCCCCACAGCACGATGCTGCCACCGCCTGAGCTGTAGACCGCTGCGACTCCTCCAAACAGCTGAAGCTCAGTTGGACTGGGTGAACAGAGCGGCTGCTTCGCCGATAGATTTTCTTCTTGCCCGGGCTGTTATTTTGTCTACGTTCATTTATTAGCAGGTTTGCTTCTGCGCCATGTTTTCTGTTTTCAGTTCCCTGTGAGACGTTCAAAAGTTGAAATATTGTTTAACAACCCAGGCCTGCGTTAAACCTCTCTATTACCTGTCTGCTGTGTTCCTTGAACTTTATGGCTCTCATTGTTCACTTTGTATTTATGCTGATACTGAATCACGCAAGTTTATTAACTAGGTCACAGGCTGTGGATCACACTGTAACAGCATCACAGTAATGGGGGTTAAATAAAAATTCATGGAAATCTTTACAGATTATGTTTAACCATAGGTATTTATTCATCCCTCTGCTACACAAACATGTGATGCTTTATGTTTGTGTATCACAAACAATTTCAATAAATTCAATAAATCTGAGTGTAGCACCAAAATAAAACTTAGGAAGGTTCAAATATTGTACTTTCAGACCTGTAAATTATGCAATATAGGGACTGTAAGTTAATTTTTTTTTTTTTTTAAATATGGACTAAGTGATTTCTGTTTTTATTTTACATGCCATGACATTTTGATGGCTGCAGTTGAAACAAAAACGATTTGACTTTGTCTTGCTTGTTACCTGCAGGAGGTGAGCCCCAAGGTGCTGCTCAAACATATCAGTGGCCAGAGAATGGGTTGATCGTCTAACTGCAAGAGAAAAAGACAAACATGCATCAATGTAAATGTTGACGTTTTGACTATGAAGAAGAGATTTTTTTTGTTAATATTCAATGTTCAGCTGCGCTTTCACTGCTGTGCAAGATGAAACAAATCGCAGCTTTACTGAATAAAGCACAACAAATTTTGATTTAAGTTACAATGACAAATTCTACAACACTGTCATTTGGATATCGTTTGTATTCTTAATATGAACTATTACACTGTAGTGAAATAAACAGTGTGCTGCCTGTAATGGGCTGACAGCTGCAGCTGCGCTATAGTGTTTGTCCTACAATCCAAAAACCTCCTGATTGTCGAGTCATTTCAGCCTGTTCAGTTTTGATCCTGGGAATACAAAGTAACCTCTATGACTTCAGACTTTAACACTTGGATATATTTACTTCAAAGTCTGGATTTAGCTATAGGAATAACTTCATACTCACTTTAATGTTTATTCTGTAGTAAATTAGAAAACCAGAGAGATTTGCAAATTGTTGTCTGATAGCAAGATGAAACACAAGCAAAACCCCATGTATTATGTGCCTCTAACATTGCTGGCGGTTTTCTCTAACATAAGTTGTACAGTGCGTGACAGATTTGATGAGACAGATATTTTCTGAAGTGCGAATAAACACTTTGTTACAAGAGCTCTTTATCCGCATTGGTTGGTGAGAAACCTTTAACTTTTAAGACAGAAAATCTGACATTTGGGGTGTCATATGTTTTTTTTTTTACTTCGAACTTGAAAATACAAACTCCTGAGTAAAAATGACAGGCAGCATGAATCCCACAGTGACTGTAAGAAGACTGCATTTTAACAAGCAGTAAATAATGCTGTATATCCCGTGGTTTAAAAATACAAACCACAGACATAAAGCAATACCAAAGAAGTAATGTGGCTGAATATGCTTGGACACATCATGTTGTTTAATGAAGCAGGCCTGGAAAAAGATTTTTTTCATGATGACCGTTTTATGTCTGTTTCGCTTTCTGTGGTATATGAAGATGCACAGCTTTGAGCAAATCACTTCATCAGCATCACCATTTGATCCTGAAGCGTACGGATTGTGGTCTCTGACAAAATGAACCTTCCTGAAAGTTTTTGTACATGTCAACTGTGCAGCACTGCTTTAAAAGTTACTTAAGATGCAAAAATATTGCAGCAATTTGCGACACAATAAAAACCCTCTCTTTGCGCTGATGGAGATTCACTCACATCTGCATGCTTGACGCTTGAAGTGGCAAACACTTATAAGCCGATACACAGGTTGGTGCATGAATGTGTGTGCAGCAGTCAGTGTTAATGGGTGAATGTGGCTCTAGTGTGTTTAGTTAGAGTGCAGCTAGCTACCTGCACTGCTCCTCTGAACTCTGGCATGACCATCTACACAACATCAACCCAATGGATATGTTCTCTTTTCCAACCATTCCTTCTTAGACACCAGCCCATCTACAGAGAGACGACACTGCGTGGAAATCCTGGACGATCAGCAGTATTTAAAAATACTCTGTCCAGGCTGTCCGGCAACAACAACCACCTTACATTCGAAGTCACTTAAATCTCCTTTCATCCTTAATTTTATGCTCACTTTGAACTTCAGCAAAGTTGTCTTCACCACGTAGACTGTGGATCGGGTTGCATGTGAGTGACTATGTTAACAAACAAATGAATATGTGACCGCTCAGTGTAAAAAACAAAATACATGTTAATGATAAGAATCGGTTCACAAATGCCTGAGAATCATCTCGTCATGTTTGGACTGTTGTAAACAGTATTTTAAAACGTGATGCTGAAAGATAAAAACATTGGCAAGTTTCTGTTCTATCACAAAAAGCGAGTGGTGGGTAACTTTATTGAGACTATAAAGTTACACAATTTCTAAACTTCTTTTATAATCGTCAAGAACTCTTGTGAACTTCTGATCAAAACAGCAGAAAGTCCAACAACTACTTTCATCCCGTCTTTTGCCAGAGATCCATTTCCCTGTTATGATCACAAATTTAGTCTAAGCGAGTGAAAAGCTGTGAATAAAACCAAGTTCAAACCACATGATTCCACTGCAGAGACTGTTTCATGTATTCTGTTAAAATATCAGTGAAACCAAAAAGGATAGAACTGTGCTTTAATGCCTTAACCTAACTGAATATTTTATAAATAACTCTCAAGTCAGACCTTTTCTTAGTTGTTTTCTGGAAATCTGAAGAGTGATATCTTTAAAATTTCCCAGCATGCTCTCTAGTTGGTCTTCTGTCAGAACGCATGAAATCCTTGTGAATTTGTTAGACATTACACAGGATGTATGTGTAAAAGCAAATAAAAACAAAGAAACATTTATTTTTATATCCAAGCAAAGACGTCTTAACTTAAAGTTTTCTCTTACAGATGAATGTAAGAATCGGTTCACCTGCAATTGTAAAAATAATTTCCATCTGACTAGAGAGGAATCAGCCCTGAAAAAAAATGTGGCGAAAGTGGTGTGTGAGCACACCACTCGATCTCTGCCAGACACACACACACACGCACACACACACACACACGCGCACACACACACATATATAGTGTCTGCATCACAACTCTTAATGCATCCCAAATACAAGCTATCAGAGCTGCTTCAGTGCCAAAGTGGTGCTGTTTACCAAGGCAATTACAATACAAATAGAGTTGGAGGTGGTTAGGTGGAGGAGTGGAGTGGGGGGGGGTATAGGTGTAAGAAGAGCAGTGAGAGGGGAGGGAAAATGAGAAAACACTAAATAAGGCGAGAGTGATCACTTTCTCCAAAGCAAACGTGGCGACGGGGAAGGCTGTGGTGACGTGGAAGATTAATTTAGCAATCAGGCATCTTTATTGTTTTATGTCAGAAAGAGTGTGTGGCAGGAGGATCGGGTATGTGAGCACCTGTGAGGGTGCACACACACACACTCACATCCTCACAGGGTGGGAACCATATGTGAAAACTAATCTCACTCCAACAGGGATGCTTTAGAACACAACATTCCCTACGTAGCAGAGACAAACTGTGAATGTGAGTGTGCATATGATTGTGTACACGTGAGTCTATATGCGTGTGTGTGTGTGTGTGTGTGTGTGTGTGTGTGTGTGTGAGAGTGTATGTATGCATGGCTTTAAGGATCATCGGATAACTGTATGCGTGTGTGTGTGTGTGTGTGTGTGTGTGTGTTGCTGCAAGGCTGAGAGAAATCAATAAGCGTTATGACAGGAAAATGAAAGTACTGCTCTGGGTTACAACTGAACACAGAGGGAGACTCAGAACACATAAACACACACAGATATGTAGCAGAAACACAACCACACAACCACACACACACATTTCAGGAATACACACAGCATGATCTGCGATTAAACAACACAAATAGCCCCCTACACACACGCACACACACACGCACGCACGCAAACTCTCTCACACACATAAATACAGAGTTGCTGGACAAAGCCACTGTGGCATTGTGAGATTGGGGTCCCCTCTGTGTAACAGAGTGTGAATATAAATAAGGCAAGTCCATTCAGGCCTGTGAAAGGGGGTCTGGGTGCTGGGACCCTTCAGCCTAGTCAGTTGCTTCGCGGACAGAGAGGGGGTGTTTGGAGGAGCCCATCGAGCCTCTCCTCCCCGCCTGTCCGGCTCCCATCTGGGGCAGAGCTGGAGCTGCAGCGCTGGGTTATTCGTGACTATATAAGAATAGATTCAAACAATGCATCACACAGACATACGCTTCCTGATCTGAGTCGAAGCATAAAATGCTTGGAATGGTGCGAGTGTGTGACTTTGAGGCCACAGATCCCTGAAGGGGTGAAGGTGATGGTGGGTGATCAGTTGCGCTGAGTAGCGTCAGCGGGGAGAAGGAAACGTTGGAAGTGACAAGAGGCCAGCAGGGCTGACAGATGAGTTACACCCATACACACACACACACACACACACACGCGCACACACACTCACACTTGCGGACAAATACACAGAGGACCATTTATTACAGACTGCCATGGCACAATAGGGCTGGCCAGGAAACCAAAACACTGGACCTGGTGTGTGTGTCCTTGCACACATGTGTGAACTCACAGCAGTGTTGGTATCTCACCCCGAGAACAAAGATCCTTCTGTAGTGGTGCTGTGAACCTATACGTCTGTGCGCAGGGGATTTGTCCGACTCTCTGTATATTCTTACAAATAAGCCCCTTGCCGATAAAGAGTCTCCTTCCCCCAATAAAAACTTCCGCACTAAAGAGTGTTGGCTGTCTTTAGCTCAATCTGATAGTGGTAAATTACGGGCGCGTTCACTGATTGAAAAAATATTTGCTCTTTGAGTTTCTGACTGTCATCACTCAGGTCGGTTCAAGCTGAGAATCGGCGGACTTCAGTAGCCAGGTGCACAGCGCTCCAGGCAGGTATGAGCTGATACATGTTTCATACAAAATATTCCTCAGCAGACTTATTCTTGTTATTCCCAAAAAGCCAGATACAAATGTGAAAAAAGTACAAATCGGTGAAACGTAAAAGACCAACTCCAGCTTGTCTTTTTACAATTATATTTTTTTACTGTTTATATTCTCAGTTAATGAGTAGATAGTACTTATAGTATTTATTGATCCGTTTTCTTATCCCCTCGCATCAGGTCAGGAGCGAAGACATGCTTGGTTGTTTACACTGTATTTTATCATAGAGCTAGAAGTCAATGAAAAACGTCTGACCTTGAACTCAAATATCAAGCCAGCAGGAATTCAAATTGAGAAAAACCCAATACATGAAGAAAATATGTAGTCCAAGTCTTTAGTAAATTAAACGTTTTTCATCGTTAGCATGCCACCAACATGTTGAGTGGAACCCTTGAACATGAACCCATTCGAACAGATGTATTACTGAGCTATACAGTAATAACTCAGTAATTACACTGTAATTACTAAGTTATGGGCTCCTTTTCATGAGAAGTTTCAAGCTGATTTTTTATTATTGAACTCTAAAATGTAGTCTTAGAGAACAGCTGTGAACAAGCAATCAAATTCTGATGCAGACCAAACAAGTGAACTCTGGTCCTCCTAAAAACCTAGGCCTCTGCTGCAGTTCGAATCATATGTGAGCGCCAAGCGGACCGGAGACCGCTCCAAAAGCAACAAGCGGACTATAACAACAGATATTCTGCATAAATACAAACAACAAATAAATACAAACAACAAATGCATGAGTTCAGCACTAGTGGGAGAAATGGCTCCTGGTCTGACACCATAGCCAAAAGAGAAATCCTACAACCACTGAAATCTCACACCACTTCATTTTTGTTCACATCTGGTGAAGAAGGAAGTTGCGCTCAGTGTCTTCTTCAGATATTTTCTTGCCGTTTCCTTCAGCGCCACCACAGATGAAGGGGTGAACAGGTGTCTCAAAGGGTTTGGTCTGTTTGAGTGCAGTGTGAAAGCGAACCGTACCAGCTGTTTCGATTTGGTCCCCAATTGAAACAAGTCTACCAAATTATCAGGTGCGAAAACAACCTTAGCCTACTTTCATTCAGCAGGTCGTGATGCTCAACTTCAATTTTTTGCTGAGATCTGATTTTTTGGCATGGCCATTCATAATACAAACTAAACGTGACTTCAATCAGACTTCTGTGTGAAAAGTTATGGCCACATTTATGATTGTCTAGCAACAAAATTAGCTCAAACTCAAACAGATAAGATGAATTTAAAACTACTAAACCAAAGTGTCTTTTTGGAAGTTCATGTGGATACCATTCAGGCCTCTACCGTCGTTTACCAGAGAGGAAATGTTCAATAATTTCAGTAACTTGTTCAATAAATGAAACATTTTACATATTGTAGATTAAGTACATACATATGGAGTTAGATTTGTTTCACAATTATTCAATC